CTATTGGATTATAATGCTGCACTTTTCCATGCAGTTGTTACGTGACAGGGCGATTAGAAATGCTAGCTATAGCATTGTCATACACTGCATGGAGTCATGTGAAGTGATTATTAAGCATGCTATTTAAATATGGATCAAGTGCTGACTGGTTGACAGTAATGAGGAAATTATTTAGTATAAACAGAAGTCATAATGGTAAAGGCCTTTCTTCTTGATTTTTAGTTAGTCCTCTAGTTACCCTTCTGTATTCGAGTTGACCTGCAAACTAAAACACTTGCTAGTCATTATCGCCTTCGTTTTAACAATTTCTATGTGCTTGATATTTTGATGAGTGGTTTATTGAAGTTTTCTTGAAATAAAGTTTGGTATGTGTATAAACATGGAAATTTAAACAGCTATTTGTTTTTCTTAAATTATAACAAATTATCAGGTTAATTCAGTGCTTCTGCTTAAAGATTAGGAACTAATAGATCATTTTTATTGGTTTTTACCAGAAGTATGCTTAAACATATTTGTCAAAGTAGAAACAACTTTATTAAGGGGGAAAATAAGGCCACCCTTTTGGAAGTACTTTTTGCCCTATCTTTAACTGGAGGGGTAATTTTTGAAGGTATACCCTCTTGTGTGTAGAATTTAAGAATAATCTATTGGACAACTTTGCATTAGAGTTGATTGATATTAGAAGTTAGTATTATATAAGAGATCATTCATTTATATTGAGTTTAATATATAACTTATCCACAAGTGTTTATATAAACCTATAAAACTTATTTAAGAATGTTTAGTAAATCATGAATTTAGAATCTGTTAGGAAAAATTCACATTAAATGTCATGAAAAATTCTGTGGATTTCAGAGTAGAATTACTACATTTTTCATGGGTCATTTTGTTTCTTTAGAAACCTTAAAAAGGCACAAGACTCTGTCTCTCGCACAGAGAAAGAAATAAAAGATACTAAGAAAGAATAGATGACTTAACAGCAGAACTAAAAAGGATTGACGAAAGAGCAGAAGTCATAGAGAACACAATGCTGCAAAGGTAAGACTTCAGGGGATGAAATTTGAAGAAATTAATAAGTTGGATATGACATCAGTGCTTTGAATATAGTTAAGTACTCAATAGGTTAAAAATGTCTTCTAACTATAAATTTTATTTGTACAATAAAGATATGAGTACCATATTATACTTTTCTGTCTACTAGAATGTTATAACTAATTTAAAATGGAAGGAGCATTGGGAGAATTGCTAACTTCTTTGAAATGTGAAATACCTATTCTATTTGGGAAGATCATATTTGTAAGTTCTTGATCTTAGGAATCCTTACCGAAGATCCAGAAAGAACATCGTAATCTACTTCAAGAACTAAAGTTATTCAAGAAAGTGAGCATGCTCTTCAAAAGATGCACTTAGTATTAAGTTGAAACTTGAACAGATAGATGGTCACATTGCTGAACATAATTCAAAAATAAATATTGCAAAAAGAGGTGAGATTGTTACCAATTAACTTTGATTTTAACATATTCTTTATGGAAAGGGGATTAAAAAAGTTACAAATTAGTCACAACTGTTGTTTTTGTACCTGTATGATTTGTTGTATTGGTTAACAATTAATTATAGTATGTGCTTTCTCTGTCACCTAAATCAACTTTTAGATTTCAAAAATATCATTGCATCCCATAGAAGATAATCCTGTTGAAGAGGTTTCAGTTCTAAACCCAGAGGATCTCGAAGCAATCAAGAATCCAGATTCTATAACAAACAAATTGCACTTTTGGAAGCTCAATGTCATGAAATGAAACCAAACCTTGGTGCCATTGCAGAGTATAAAAGAAGGTATGAATGAACTATTTATGTATTTTAGTCAGAAATTCTTTATAGTCCTTAGCCTAAATTGTGACCTTAAGTTTTACATAAATTAGCAATGCTGATTTTCATGTCAAATTTATAGCCGAGTAGATTTTTTCCTAACATAATATTCTTTTCACAGAAGAATTATATTTGCAACGAGTAGCAGAATTGGACAAAATTACTTCTGAGAGAGATAATTTTAGACAGGCATATGAAGATCTTCGGAAACAAGGCTTAATGAATTTATGGCAGGGTTTACATAATAACAAATAAATTAAAGGAAAATTACCAAATGCTTACCTTGGAGGGGATGCTGAACTGGAGCTTGTAGACAGTTTGGATCCTTCTCTGAAGGAATCATGTTCAGGTTTGTAATTATACTAAGTTTTTATTCCCTCTTCCCTATCTGTATATATTCTCCAAACTCTTAGTATTCTTGGCTGGTGGGAGGTGGAAGGCAAGATCTACAGCTTGTTTTAATAATGCTATTTTGTTTACATGCTATTATGCTGACAGTTCACAGGAGCAAACAGCAAATAACATTTATGAATATTTGTCTGGGTAATATTTTTAGTTTAAGCCATGTCAAGTTTAATATTAGGATTGAAAATTACATTTGATAAGGGGAATAGCAAGAAATACTTAGTTTGCTGTTTAAGTCTTAAATTTTGGGGGTGTTAAAATGTGTTCATCCTCCAATGTTTTTATAAAATAACCAGAAAAAATAGTTGAAATTTGTAAAAGCAAATTAGAGATTCCCGAGGAGGTGTAAAGTCAAGTGTGGAAACAAATCATAAAGTCTTAACTTTAGCTTACAAGTAATTTAACTAAGAGTTTTCTTAATTATTTCAGTGTTCGACCACCTAAGAAAAGTTGGAAGAAGATCTTTAATCTTTCAGGAGGAGAGAAAACACTTAGTTCATTGGCTTTAGTATTTGCTCTTCACCACTACAAACCTACTCCCCTTTACTTCATGGATGAGATTGATGCTGCCCTTGATTTTAAAAATGTGTCTATTGTTGCATTTTATATATACGTAAGTAATCATTTAGCATTTTTTATCCTGGAATTCTTTGACTTCTTACTATTGAGCATTTTCTCTATTCTCTAATGCATGTCTTCTGGTATCAATGGAGACCAAATCCTTCTCTTATTTGAACTAAATATTCCACTATGGAGAAGTAAAATATAAATTGAAAGTGCAAATTCGCAGAATCACAGGTCGAATCTCAGGTCTCCTTCCTAGATCTTTTCCACTAGAACACTTCTAGGCAGTCATACTTCCAAAAATTACCAAATTCCTCTCAAACTCAAATACTGTTTTATGAACTATCCATGCCATAATTCCTATACCTTATCAATGTAATGTTAAATTTATTGTCCAAGAAATATTTGAGGTTACATGTTTATTATGTGATTTCCCATTATTACTAGATGTTTAATTACTTTTTTTTTTTTTTTTTAGAACAAACAAAACAATTGCCCAGTCATAATTAATTTTTCTTCTTCGAATTAATATGTGAGCATTTCAGATAGACTTATTGGAATGTTACAAGACATACAATATAACAAAAAGTGTTGCATGTAAACCCAAAAGAATTGCATCTTAAAGGACTTGTGAGCTTTTGTACTGAAGACTCTTCGAATTGAATGGCATAGATTCTGTGTACATATTATTGGTTTTCTATTTGTAAAAGATGATGACTTATATTAAATACATACTCCTAAACTGGATCACAAAATAATATTAGAGTCATTTTTATAAAGCCTAATAAAATATTCTCTGTACTTCAGGAGATTGTAAGGATCTGATAATTTTGTAAGTGGTAGTCTATGAGAAAATAAAATAACCTGGAGGGTCAGGTGACTTTGATTCTCACTTCCTGCCAACAAAAAGTATGTTTGCTGAGGCAAATTTCTAAATAGATTTTGTTATCAAGGGTCAGCATACCTTCATGGAACTTTCACCTATACTAGAAAAGCCTGCCTACTAATACTCGATAAATTATTAAGGCCTTATGCTTTATTTGCTTATTTAGACAATCACTATATTACCCAAATAATGGGAAGAACTTTTTGCTAAACCGGGGTCATTCTGAGTTATAGGAATGTGAATTTAAATATCGTATGCTTTTCTAAAACTTGTTTGACCATTTGAAACTTACTTGCAATAGAGCCATTAAACTGAAGCAATGTCTGAACATAACTAGCCTGTATCATAATTTGAAAACTATCCCACTATATAGTTGCTTTTTTTGAGGCAGAGTCTCTGTTGCCCATGCTCAGGTGCTGTGGTTCACCCTTGCTCACAGCAACCTCAAACTCCTGAGCTCAAGCAATCCTGCCTCAGCCTCCCAAGTAAGCTGGGACTACAGGCATGTGCCACCATGCACAGCTAACTTTCTATATATTTTTAGTGGTCCAGCTAATTTTTTTCTATTTTTAGTAGAGACGGGTCTGGCTCTTGCTCAGGCTGGTCTCGAACTCCTGACCTCAAGTGATCCTCCTGCCTTGGCTTCCCAGAGTGCTAGGATTATAGGCATGAGCCACCACGCCAGCTAATTGCACAAAGTCCTTTAGATGCAATTTCTTTTGGGTTTACTGCAACACTTTTTGTTATATTGTATGTCTTGTAAATTCCAATAAGTCTATCTGAAATCTCAAACATATTATTTACAAGAGAAATTATTATAAACAGAGAATCTTTTGCATAAAAAAAAAAAAAAAAAAAAAAAGTAAGTTAAAAACATTAAGTAATAATGGGAAATCACATAATAAACATGTAACCTCAAATATTTCTTGGACAATAAATTTAACATTACATTGATAATGTATAGGAATTATGGCATGGATAGTTCATAAAACAGTATTTGAGTTTGAGAGGAATTTGGTAATTTTTGGAAGTATGACTGCCTAGAAGTGTTCTAGTGGAAAAGATCTAGGAAGGAGACCTGAGATTCGACCTGTGATTCTGCTACGAATTTGCACTTTCAATTTATATTTTACTTCTCCATAGTGGAAATATTTAGTTCAAATAGAGAAGGATTTGGTCTCCATTGATACCAGAAGACATGCAGTTAGAGAATAGAGAAAATGCTCAATAGTAAGAAGTCAAAGAATTCCAGGATAAAAAATGCTAAATGATTACTTACGTATATATAAAATGCAACAATAGACACATTTTTAAAATCAAGGGCAGCATCAATCTCATCCATGAAGTAAAGGGGAGTAGGTTTGTAGTGGTGAAGAGCAAATACTAAAGCCAATGAACTAAGTGTTTTCTCTCCTCCTGAAAGATTAAAGATCTTCTTCCAACTTTTCTTAGGTGGTCGAACACTGAAATAATTAAGAAAACTCTTAGTTAAATTACTTGTAAAGCTAAAGTTAAGACTTTATGATTTGTTTTCCACACTTGACTTCTACCACCTTCCTCCTCGGGAATCTCTAATTTGCTTTTCACAAATTTCAACTATTTTTTCTGGTTATTTTATAAAAACATTGGAGGATGAACACATTTTAACACCCCCAAAATTTTAAGACTTAAACAGCAAACTAAGTATTTCTTGCTATTCCCCTTATCAAATGTAATTTTCAATCCTAATATTAAACTTGACATGGCTTTAAAACTAAAAATATTACCCAGACAAATATTCTATAAATGTTATTTGCTGTTTGCTCCTGTGAACTGTCAGCATAAATAGCATGTAAACAAAATAGCATTATTAAAACAAGCTGTAGATCTTGCCTTCCACCTCCCACCAGCCAAGAAATACTAAGAGTTTGGAGAATATATACAGATAGGTAAGAGGAGGAATAAAAACTTAGTATAATTACAAACCTGAACATGATTCCTTCAGAGAAAGGATCCAAACTGTCTACAAGCTCCAGTTCAGCATCCCCTCCCAAGGTAAGCATTTGGTAATTTTCCTTTAATTTATTTGTTATTATGTAAAACCCTGCCATAAATTCATTAAGCCTTTGTTTCCGAAGATCTTCATATGCCTGTCTAAAATTATCTCTCTCAGAAGTAATTTTGTCCAATTCTGCTACTCGTTGCAAATATAATTCTTCCTGTGAAAAGAATATTATGTTAGGAAAAAATCTACTCGGCTATAAATTTGACATGAAAATCAGCATTGCTAATTTATGTAAAACTTAAGGTCACAATTTAGGCTAAGGACTATAAAGAATTTCTGACTAAAATACATAAATAGTTCATTCATACCTTCTTTTTATACTCTGCAATGGCACCAAGGTTTGGTTTCATTTCATGACATTGAGCTTCCAAAAGTGCAATTTGATTTGTTATAGAATCTGGATTCTTGATTGCTTCGAGATCCTCTGGGTTTAGAACTGAAACCTCTTCAACAGGATTATCTTCTATGGGATGCAATGATATTTTTGAAATCTAAAAGTTTGATTTAGGTGACAGAGAAAGCACAATACTATAATTAATTGTTAAACCCAATACAACAAATCATACAGGTACAAAAACAACAGTTGTGACTAATTTGTAACTTTTTTTAATCCCCCTTTCCATAAAGAATATGTTAAAATCAAAGTTAATTGGTAACAATCTCACCTCTTTTTGCCAATATTTTATTTTTGAATTATGTTCAGCAATGTGACCATCTATCTGTTCAAGTTTCAACTTAATACTAAGTGCATCTTTTTGAAGAGCATGCTCACTTTCTTGAATAACTTTTAGTTCTTGAAGTAGATTACGATGTTCTTTCTGGATCTTCGGTAAGGATTCCTAAAGATCAAGAACTTACAAATATGATCTTCCCAAATAGAACAGGTATTTTCACATTTCAAAGAAGTTAGCAATTCTCCCAATGCTCCTTCCATTTTAAATTAGTTATAACATTCTAGTAGACAGAAAAGTTATAATATGGTACTCATATCTTTATTGTACAAATAAAAGTTTATAGTTAGAAGACATTTTTAACCTATTGAGTACTTAACTATATTCAAAGCACTGATGTCATATATCCAACTTATTAATTTCTTCAAATTTCATCCCCTCGAAGTCTTACCTTTGCAGCATTTGTGTTCTCTATGACTTCTGTTGCTCTTTCGTCAATCCTTTTTAGTTCTGCTGTTAAGTCATCTACTTCTTTCTTAGTATCTTTTATTTCTTTCTCTGTGCGAGAGACAGAGTCTTGTGCCTTTTTAAGGTTTCTAAAGAAACAAAATGACCCATGAAAAATGTAGTAATTCTACTTCTGAAAATCCACAGAATTTTTCATGACATTTAATGTGAATTTTTTCCTAACAGATTTCTAAATTCATGATTTACTAAACCATTCTTAAATAAGTTTTTATAGGTTTATATAAACACTTGTGGGATAAGTTATATATTAAACTCAATATAAATGAATGAGTCTTCCTTATATAATACTAACTTCTAATATCAATCAACTCTAATGCAAAGTTGTCCAATAGATTATTCTTAAATTTCTACACACAAGAGGGTATACCTTCAAATAATTACCCCCCCCAGTTAAAGATAGGGCAAAAAGTACTTCCCAAAAGGGTGGGCCTTATTTTCCCCCTTAATAAAGTTATTTCTACTTTGACAAATATGTTTAAGCATACTTATGGTAAAAACCAATAAAAATGATCTATTAGTTCCTAATCTTTAAGCAGAAGGCACTGAATTAACCTGATAATTTGTTATAATTTTAAGAAAAAACAAATAGCTGTTTAAATTTCCATGTTTTATACACATACCAAACTTTATTTCAGAAACACTTCAATAAACACTCTTAATTTTAAAACAAGGCGAATGGATACAATTTTTTTCAGTTTTGACAATGAAATCTTCTAGCTAACTAAAAATTAAGAGATCCCTTCCTTGACTCTTTTACTTATTCCCTTACAGCCTACATCTATTTAAATTAAGCACTAACTCCTCCCCTAAACCAGAGAAACAAAACTGATTTCTATGCCCTCCTAACAATGGAGGTGTTATATAGCATAACTGCACTTTCCCAAGGGATACCTGTTGACCAGTTTTTTAAATTGGCCATATGATAAAGTCCCACTAGATAATAATGTGTCAGATAGGTTTAACAATTAATAGTAAGAGAAACATTAATGGAACATTACATTTCAACATTAACCCTTTTACCATATGGAGGTAGGGAACAGAAAGACAAGTTAGGGTAGCACGTATACCCTACCTATCAGCAGTCTTGATTGCTACTTGAGCTTTAGTAATAGCAGAAGCACATTCATCTAATTGCTTATTTATTTTATCAAGTTTGTCTTGTTGGGCCTTGAGTTTATGGTTATTGATTTCTACGATGATATTATGTAAGCGTTTCACTTCAGCTTCTACTTTACCAGCTTTCTCAGCCACACCATCATATTCTGAAATTAAAAAATAAAGAACTTAATTTGTGTTTTTATGCTATTAAGCATCAGATGTTAGATGTAAATTTCTTCAATGACTTAACAGAATACATAAAAACCCATTTTAAAAATTTGGGGAAAAGCACTGTTAAAAAACCAGAATATCCTATGTCAGAACAATGTTGGAACACACAAAGTTAAATTCTCTGGCTTGGCTGTTAACACACCCATTTATTTCTTAATGGCTTCATGTTCTTAGCTTCTTTTCAAAGTTCTTTCCAACTTTTTCTTAGGGCATTTCCTGGACTATTGGCTGCATAATAATTTTTAGCCATAAATTATGTGCCTGACTCAATATTAATTTGCCCAGGGTGAAGAAATTGTGGTTATTTTCTTTTGCTAACCTAAATAAGCAGTCTACCATGTCATAACAAAATGGAGGAGATATGATGAACTGGTGCTCTTCCCTGTGACAAAGTTAACATCTTCCAGATTTCCATGTAGCTAGGGTTTATACATGATCTGGGTCCATTCAATTAAAAATACTTGAATAATTTGGAAGGCATAAGTGATGAATTGGACTTTCTGTTGGCAAGCAAGCAGTCACACACAAGTCTGAATTTTCTGTGATGCAATTAGAGGTTCTGATGTCAAGTCGATAGCTTTGTGAGTATTGGCAGGCAGTGGCATCAACAATGATCATGTGAATTATAGTGGGTACAATGTGCTTCTGTTGTTGGTAGTGGTAGTAGACATTTTCCCAATTGCAGAGAATTCTATTTGGAGATAAGGCAATAGCTCCTTTGATGGTTCTGCAGAGCAGCTCTGGAAATTATTCTTAAATGTTCAATCTAGAAACTTTCTTTAGCTATCCCAATGATTCTGTAAACACTCTAATACCCTGTTTACACACATAACACACATGTGTGCATGCACCACACAAATCCTACTTACACCAGCCTGAGTGGTTTCTGTTCTCTCTACTTGAATCCGAATCACTATATAATATGGGAAGGATGAAGAGATGGCAAAAAGGTGGGGAATTCAAGCTATTAAGAATACCCACATCTAGAAAGGCAATCAGAATGGTGAGCTAACTGGTGGAAAGGGATTCCCACAAAGTTCCTGAAGGTATATGGGTATTTGGCACAGGAAGAGGGAAGTAGGATTTGTAGAGAGAAAAGGACTGGACAGATAAAACTACTGTTTCCTCTCTTCTGTCTTTTCTCTCATCAGGCAGATATTGGAATTTCAAGATCTCCCAAACCTCTTAACTTCCGATTTATCTTTTTGCACTACATTATCAGAGAATTCTTTAGGCTGATTTTTCAGCCCATCTATTGAGTTCAATTCCAACACTTTACTTAATTTCTGAGATCACTACCTGGGTCTTACAAACAAACAAACAAGCCTGCTTTTTTGGGTGGCTTACAGATTCTTTATTTTCCTAAGGATATTATTAATAAATATACACAAGTCCTAGTACATTGCTAACACTAATAATTGCTGTTTTTCAGGTTTACTTTATTGCATTTGTTGATGGAACTGTGTTGCTCACAGTGATGTTCTTTGAGGCTGAAATTCCATTAAGCTGTATGTGGGCTTGGCTAACCTGTGGGGTAGAACACCACCACTTACAATAATTAGAGAGTAGGTCAGGTATGCAGCTGGGAAGGCTTCTATCCTGAATATCCTCCCAAAGAGATTTAGAGCATTTTCCTTCTTGTTTTTAAGTACCCACCATATATCTATAGTAACATGTCTACCAGAAGTAGGAGGGAAAAACTGTGACACATATAGTCTGTAATTCTGAAGCCGCTATTCTATATTTAACAATTTATCTTCAAAATGTCTGTATAGATTTAGATAGAATTTACTATAGCCATTATTTAAAAATACAAATATGTTCAAGAGTTAAAAACTATACAGTCATCAGTCATTATGTTTTCCCTGAATTATTGCAATAGCACCCCAATTTCCCTGCTTTCACCCTGCCCCGCTTACTCTATTGTTTGCACATTAGCCAGAGAGATAACTTTTCAAATATAAGTTAATGTAAAAGGAAATATTTAATCTTAAAGATATGCTTGCACAAATGGGTCCTCAACAGTCTACTGATATTTAGCACTTCTATGAGAGGAGATATATAGAGTCCCTAATAAAGTCAAGGATTCCTTTTCAAATAAGAACACAGATACACACTTTTGGCCTTTCAATTGACCCTTACGTACCATCAAAACAGTCACAAAAAATACTGAGGTGATGTATAGGGAAAGCGGAATATGGGTCAAGGCCCCAGGGGATCTGGATTCCTCCATCCTTTATTCTAGCTAAAGCGGTCTCCTTTTGCTTCTAGCATACTCCTGGTTCAGAGATTTTGCATTTAATCCTCTAAATTCTTCTTGGAATGCTTTTCTCCCAAATATCCACATGGTTATTATAGCACTCACAGTTCCTCTAGGTCTCTACTCAAATATCTCTGCATCATATTAAATGCGTGCTCCTTGAAAGGAGACTTTATTTTGTTCACTCCTCTATCAACAGCACCTGAAACAAAGCTTGGCCAGTAGCAGATGCCTATTTGAGTGAATGCTTAAATATAAAAAGTGGAGACAAATATGGATACACACAAAAACGAACATGGGTATCCATTTATGATGTGCATTGTGGTCATCTGTCTACTTAACATCTTTTTACTCTTTCTTTTGAAAGAAAACTCCTCCATTATTGAAGCATTCAGACAATTGCTCCAATTCCACTCTAATTAGTTCTTTTGAATGGACAATCAGTATTTATTTTCCTTTGCTCACAAACTATAAAAACAGGGGTCCTTCTTAGAATATAATGAAGCCTCACTGTTGTTTTGGGGGGGGGGTCACTAGCTAAGATATAAGCCAGGAAGTGGCTTGTGGTATAACCCACATTTCCCCTCTCAAATAAGCAGCTTTTTTCATGTGCATACCATTTATTCTCTGTATCTACTATTTGAGTGATTTAGTTTCTCCAAATCCTCAGTTTTCTACATCTGTAACTACTATCTTGAAGGATTTTTGCAAAGATTAGGGCCAAAGTATACAAAGTATGAAATTAAGAGCATGAGCTCTGGAATCAGACCTACCACCTATTCCTATACTACCACTTGCTGTGTGACCTGAAGCAAAGTATATATATACACACACCACTCTGTGCCTCAGTTTCTTTATTTGTCAAATGAGGCTATCAACAGTACTTATTTTGTAGGCTTATGAGAATTAAGTAATAACAAAAACCATAAACTAGTGCAATGATTTGTATCTAAGATATATATATTATTATTCTACAAACTGCTATTAAACATTGGAAACTTTGACAATCTCAAAAAATGTTTCTATCTTTAAACATACCTGTTTTGAAGGCATTAACATTTTCTTCTAGCAATTTCTGCTTTTTTTTGTCAGGGGCTGTAGCAAGTACATTAGCTTCAAGCTCCTTAACTTGGATGTTCAAATACTCTTCTTGCTCTGTTAAACGCTACAGAAACATTTTAACATTTAAGGTCAATATTTTAACTTAGTAACAATATTTACTTTAAATATTTTGAATTTTAAAAAAGGGCATTTAAAATCTTTAAGAAAAAGATAAACACTAATAAGAGCAGAAAACATGAATATAAAAAATGAAAATGGCCAACAAATATGAAATGACGTATAAGCTCATTATGAAGACAAGTTAAAATGCCATTTTTAGATCACAAGGTAGCAAATTTACAACATTTTAAAGACTACTCTAGTGTTCAAAGACATGGAAAAATAATTATTTGCATATGCTACTAGTACTGCATTAAAAATTTATTTTTGAAAACAATTTGGCATTATGCAAAAAATGCCTTAAACAATTGTATGCTCACTATGTAATATATGTTATTTTAGAACTCTTTTCTAAGGAAATAATGGGATGAGTGTAAAAAGGCATACATACCTACAAGAAAGAAACATAATTTAGTAAGTGAAGAATAGTATGACATTTAAAAAGCCATATGAAGGCCGGGCGCTGTGGCTCACGCTTGTAATCGTAGCTCTTGGGAGGCCGAGGCGGGCGGATTGCTCAAGGTCAGGAGTTCAAACCAGCCTGAGCAAGAGCGAGACCCGTCTCTACTATAAATAGAAGAATTAATTGGCCAACTGTATTAAATATAAAAAAAATTAGCCGGCATGGTGGCGCATGCCTGTAGTCCCAGCTACTCGGGAGGCTGAGGCAGTAGGGTCGCTGAGCAGGAGATGAGGTTGCTGTGAGCCGGCTGACGCCACGGCATCACTCTAGCCTGGGCAACAAGGAAGACTCTGTCTCAAAAAAAAAAAAAAAAAAAAAAAAAAAAAAAAAAAAGCATATGAGCCGGGCGCGGTGGCTCACGCTGTAATCCTAGCACTCTGGGAGGCAAGGCGGGCGGATTGCTCAAGGTCAGGAGTTCGAAACCAGCCTGAGCAAGAGCGAGACCCCGTCTCTACTATAAATAGAAAAATTAATTGGCCACTAAGGCATGGTGGCGCATGCTGTAGTCCAGCTACTCGGGAGGCTGAGGCAGGAGATTGCTTGAGCCCAGGAGTTTGAGGTTGCTGTGAGCTAGGCTGAGCCATGGCACTCACTCTAGCTCAGTACAAAGCGAGACTCCGTCTCAAAAAAAAAAAAAAGCCATATGTGACAGGACGAGGGGGCTCATGCTTGTAATCCTAGCACTCTGGGAGGCACAGGTGGACAGACTGCTCAAGGTCAGGAGTTCAAAACCAGCCTGAGCAAAAGCGAGACCCATGTCTCTACTAAACATGAGAAAGAATTAATTGGCCAACTAAACTATATGAAAATATTAGCTGGGAATGGTGACACATGCCTGTAGTCTCAGCTACTTGGGAGGCTGAGGCAGAAGGATTGCTTGAGCCCAGGAGTTTGAGGTTGCTGTGAGCTAGGCTGATGCCACGGCACTCACCTCAGCCTGGCAGCAAAGCGAGACTCTGTCTCAAAAAAAAAGAAAAGAAAATTCCATTTTGAAAGAAGAAAATAAAGGGTCATGTGGCTGCTAAATAAGTCATGTTTCTATGAAATACAAAACCAAGAATTAGACCTTCTGCTTTGAAACCACCCTCCCTTCTCCTTATATTTTAAATTATAAGCAAAAGCAAAGTGGTTCTGCTAAATTTCTGTCGAATTCCAATAGTTTCAGTTAATGTCTATACACAAAAATGCATGCACAAGGGAATACCTGGATGCTTGCAGTAATTTCTCTAGTGTATTCCTCATTTCTCGTTCACTATGCCGTAACTTGACTACTGCTTCTTCAGTTGTACTTTTTGTTCTGGATTTGCAATGATTTTTTAGAGTCTTTTTGCAACTGTAACTCCATTTTATTACCTACAGAGAAATATCAGTAAAGCTTTCCCCATGAGTCATTTCAGATTGACAGCAAAGTCAATTTATGAAGAAAACTCAAACTTATGATCTTAAAGACTAGAATAAAAATAAAGAGTCCAGGCTGGGCGCTGTGGCTCATGCCTGTAATCCTAGCACTCCGGGAGGCCGAGGCGGGGGTGGGGTTGGGTATTGCTCGAGATCAGGAGTTTGAAACCAGCCTGAGCAAGAGCAAGACCCCGTTCTCTACTATAAATAGCAAGAAATTAATTGGCCAACTAATATATATAGAAAAAATTAGCTGGGCACAGTGGCGCATACCTGTAGTCCCAGCTACTCGGAAAGCTGAGGCAGCAGGATTGCTTAAGCCCAGGAGTTTGAGGTTGCTATGAGCTAGGCTGACGCCACGGCACTCACTCTAGCCTGGGCAACAAAGCGAGACTCTGTCTCAAAAAAAAAAAAAAAAAAAAAAATGGAGTCCAATTCCAATCCCTAATCCTAAAAATTCAGGAATGTTCAACTAATTTCTGTATCACCTAAACAGATGGAAAGACAACTTTAAGTGTTGTACAGTCACTTCTTATTCCAATGAAGGGATGACATTCATACACTTGAATGGAAGGATATAAACTTACATTTTGAAAATGGGGGGGAATGGGGGAAATGGGGGCTGGGGGAAATCAAGGTAAAGGAAAGTTAGATATCCAGGACATCTAAGAACATATTTTCAAGTCAAGTAAGAGAAAAGTACATATAGTTTTCTGAGGGCAATACTGGAATAGGAATATAGCAGTTTTTTTTTGACATTTTGTGAAAATATAAAGTAAGCACAAAAATAAAATATTTTGAAATTAAGATCTGGAAATTAAGATCAGAAGTGTTTACTAAACTTACACCTTGAAGAATTATTTTAAAAATGGCCACGTAAATTGTGAAATATCCTTACAATTCAAGTGAAATAAATTTTTAAAATGTTGAACAAATACTTTCCAGTTAATGTTTTATTTTTCAAACTTTAAAGGTGTTTATAAGCCCCCCAATCACTTTTAAAAAATACAATCTATTAATTTAAAATGTGAGTACATTAAACTTAAAATGGCCAAATTTTGTAATATGTATGCTATACTTCAATAAAGCTGTTTATAAAAAAAAATGGGTCTGACTATAATTTTAGATATGCTGACCTCCTCTTCAGAGATTTCAACGACAACTGATGAACCCATTCTTCCTTTCATTACTTTGCTTCCACCACCAGTCATTGTACCTGTAAAACAGGAGAGAAGTCAGTCTTAGATGTCTCCCCCAACAAGATAAAATAAATTCAATGCCAGGAAAAACCATTACCTGATTGTTCTATGATCTGCCCCTGTAAAGTTACCACTCTCCATCTTCTATCTTTTTGATATGCTACTCTTGTGGCTTGATCCAAGTTGTCAGCTACTAAGGTATCCCGTAAAGCAAAGTAAAAAGCTCGGCGAATTTCCTCATCTTTTACTTTTACTAAATCAAATAACCGAGGAGTGTTTTCAGGAGTTTGAATTTTGGTCATTTTTTTTGCCCATACAGCCATCTAAAAGTAAAACCATATATATAATAAAGAACATGTAGTTTCTTCTAGGTATGATCTTATCTATTAAAAATCCTAAGTAATCACACACAAAAAGGCTATTAAAACTAATAAATGAGTTCAGCAAGGTTAGGATCAAGGATCAAGATAAATATGCAAAATTATACTGTTGTACAAGAGCAATGAACAGTCAGAAAATGAAATTAAGAATTCCATTTATACTATCATAAAGAAAATCCCAAAAACATGGGAATAAATATAATGAAAGAGACATAAGACTTGTATATTAAAAGTTATAAGAATCAGAGATTAATATTGTTAAGATAGCACTATTACCTAACTGATCTACAGATTCAATGCAACCTGCACTGAATGCAATCAAAATCCCAGTCACCGGCCTCCGATACCCCTCACTCTACTTTTGGGGCAGAAACCAACTAGCTGATCTAAAAAGTCATATGGAAATTCAAGGAACACAGAATATCTAAAACCATATCGATAAAGAACAAAATTTGAAGAATCACACTTCCTGATTTCCAAACTTACTAAAAAGCTATAATAATCAAAACAATGTGTTGTACCAGCACAATAAAATTTAGAGTCCAGAAGTAAACCCTTACATTTATACTTGGCTGATTTCAACAAGAGTGCCAAGAAAACTCAATGGAGAAAGAATAGTCTTTTCAACAAATGGTCCTAGAACAACTGGATAGCCACATGCAAAATGTAAAGTTGGATCCCCATTTTATACCATATATAAAAAGTAACTCAAAATAGATTAGAAACCTAAATGTAAAAGCTACTATAAAACTATTAGGGAGGCTGGGCGTGGTGGCTCACGCCTGTAATCCTAGCACTCTGAGAGGCCGAGGCAGGCGGATTGCTTGAGGTCAGAAGTTCAAAACCAGCCTGAGCAAGAGCGAGACCCAGTCTCTACCATAAATAGAAAGAAATTAAAAAAAAGATTCAACTCCTGACCTTGAGCAATCGCCACGCTCGCCTCCCAAAGTGCTAGGATTACAGGCGTGAGCCACCACGCCCGGCTGTATTTTTACTTTCTTGATGTGGTCCTTTGAAGTACAGAGTTTTTAATTCTAAGAAACCACTGCCTAATTTAAGGTCACAGTGATTTACTGCCTCTATTCTCTAATAGTTTTTTTGTTTGTTTGTTTGTTTTGTTTTGTTTTTTGAGACAGAGTCTCACTTTATTGCCCAGGCTAGAGTGAGTGCTGTGGCGTCAGCCTAGCTCACAGCAACCTCACACTCCTGGGCTCAAGTGATCTTTCTGTCTCAGCCTCCCGAGTAGCTGGGACCACATGCATGCACCACCATGCCCGGCTAATTTTTTCTATACATATTAGGTTGCCAA